GGGGAGGGGTGGGGGCGCCGCCCTTTGTCCCCCGTGTCACCCACCCACGGGCTGGGGTCACACGTGGGTGCCCCTCCCCCATCTGGGGACACCCCAGGGACCCTCCAGAGCCCCCCCCCTTCGTGGTGATGCCCTGACGTCATTGTCCGGGACCCCCTGACGTCACACTTCTGGCCACGCCCCGGTGGGCACCGCCCGGAGTGACACGGCTGGGACCGGCCCGGCGGAGAGACCCGAACCCGCCCGAGGGGACCCGAACCCGCCCGAGGGACCCGAACCGGGAGGAGCCGAACCAGTCCGGAAACACCCGAACCGGCAGCGTCCCGAACCGCGAGGAGCCGAAGCGCTCCGGAGACACCCGAACTTGGACTCGAAGCGGGACCCGAACACTCCCGGAGGGATCCGAACCCGCCCGGGGGGCCCCCGAACAAGGACCCGAAGCTGTCCGGGGAGACCCGAACCTACCCGAGGGAACTCGGACCCTCCTGAGGGGAGCCGGACCCGCCTGAGGGAACTCGGACCCGCCTGAGGGAAGCCGTGCCGGGAGGAGCAAAACCGCTTCGGAGAAACCCGAACCGTCCCGAAACACCCGAACCGGCAGCGTCCCGTGCTAAGGAACCCCAACCCGCCCGGAGGGGAGCCGAACCGGGACCGTCCCGTCCATAAGGACCCGAACCGAGCCCCCCAAAACTCCTCCGGAACAACCCGAACCCACCCGGGTGAGTGCCGGGGCTGACACAAGATGGGGGATCCTGGGGTGCCCCCTCTCCCGGACCCTCGGGGGTCTCCTCTGCCCCTCGGGGGTCTCCCCCGGACCCTGGGGACTCCCCCCCCCCCATCACCCACAGGATGCAGCCAGCGCCCGGGGGGGGCGGGGCGACCCCAGGATGAGGGGGGGGGAGGAAGGAAGGAGATTCTCCAAACCTTATATGGGCACAGCCCTGACCGCCCCCACCCCCTGCGTGCCCGGGACCCCCCAGACCCCCGGGGTGAACCCCAGCATTCCTGGGATGCCCCCAGTGCAGGGAATCCCCCCTAACCCCCAACTTCCTTCCCTCCTTCCAGCCCCCCCAAAGCT